ACCTCCCTTGGGCTGCACCAAGCCGCACACAAACTTATTATAACCTACTGTTTGTTAAACAAGTGCACATCAGCACAGGCAAAAATTAGCGGTCAACCCAACACTATTGCACAGCAGTCATGTACAATCAACTCTAAATCAGCTTCGGAAACATGCACTCTGGCGCAGCAAAGTCAGCTCGAGAACCTCAGCCCATCCGCTGACCTGTCCTACCTAAAACAGCTGATAGTATATCTAGAACAAATCCCCTGCCCTATCTCCTTTATTTATGTGTTTCTCCTATGGGTATTATTTATTTTACTGCAGTGTATGACTTTGTGTGCGGTTCAGAAGCTGCCACTATCTTCTTGGTCAAAAAAATAAAAAATAATAAAATTGATTTTCATTTTGCAATATCACTTTTGTAAGATTTACACACACACACACACACATATGCATACAGTCCTAAAAATACGCTTCATAGTTTAGTTTGCGACATAGACTAGTTTGCGACAACGAGAGTAGATGTTCCAATCAGAACAGTCCTACGACCCATATAAGGGTCACAACCTGCTAGTTTAGAAGAACTGATCTATAGAATGTCCAGGTAGACGCATCAGTTATAAATAAGACAGAAACAGCAATTCTCCCTCCTATTCGATCTCTCTCTTCTTCTCTCTGGCAGAAAAAAAAGGGCTGCTGCTATGAAGATAGATTATCCTGCTGGTGACATCGTCTCCTCTCCTTCTCTGCCATCAAGGAGAGCTTGCACAATTATGCCAATTAATCTTACACAAAAGGAGTTCAAATGCACCCTGCTTTGATTAGGTCTGGCTCCCAGACAGGTGCATGCACTCAGCATGCATCCACATACACGCACGCACACGCGAACACCCATTTGCATAAAACAATAAATCTGATTATGAATTGGTCTCTAATGGCATTTCCACTTAATGAGAGTGGTGTCTTTATACCTGCTGCTGTTTACAAGGTTAGCGAGAGCTGACAGGGACGCAATATAAATACGTGGAATAAAGCAAATCTTGAAGCCGACATGAAACCGCATTTGCAATCCTTTTATTTCACATATGAATCACATACAAAAAAGCAAGATGGGTGTGTAACAATACACTCATGCCATGATTCAATACTGATCAATACTCACAACACTTTAGAGTTAATTTAAAAAAAATTTATTACTAATAATAGTAATATGATAAACAGTACCTGTTCATTTATCATATATAAATATATTAATTATTTTGTTTAGCTAAAAACACAGAATTATGGTATGCATATGCTTGCTTGTCCCTCACTAGATACATTTGAGAAGTTTTAAATATTGTATTTTATTAATGTATTTTAATTTATTAATAATAATTAATAAACATGGAAGCTCAAATGTGTGAGCTTCCAGGTTTACCATATTATGTGAACTTTACACGATACACATTGTTGCTATCCACAATATTCATTGTTGCATTTTTCTATTGTGATATATTGTGACAATATATTGTTACACCCCTAATATGTATATCATTTTATGTAACCTCATTTATTTAAGCTCCTGTCTTCTGTTGGTCATTTAACATGTAGTTCTGCCCCAAAGTCACACTATTGGCTATCAAGCTATAAATGATTTAAACACTAAAGTGATTGGAGAAAGTACTTTAATTTGAAAAAGTACTTTCTTTGAGAAAATTACCTTCAAATTAAAGCAAAAGTACTTAATTTGAGAAAGTACTTTAATTTCTCAGAGGAAATGAACTACTTTGATGTACATAATGAAGCTTATGCAGTTTTTATAACAAATAACTGGAATGAATATCAGTGTGCGTATGAGTACATAAATGTACGAAGGTGTGCAAGACATTGCCAAAGGAGCTTGAAAGAAAGTCAGCATTTTCCAGAAATACATTCTATTCTGCAGAAAGTTACCTGGCTGGCTTCCATCTATTGACAATGCAATCAAACATTCTGACCAGACCTCGCTGGCCACAATACAACCTGGGACATGTACGTGCAAACTTGTGATTTATCCATTTTTCTTTTTAATTACCTCCGTGTCAAAATAGGTGAAGAGGTCTATGTGGAAAACCATTCCCTATCAAAGGCGAAAAAGAGCATTATTTTGTTCTAAACCACAGAGAGGGCCCAAATGGCATTAAAAAGTAATGTTCTGATTTTACATGAATAAATACTCAGTCATTGTCTTATTTTTTTTTCTGACTGCACAGGCAGAGTGGCAAGATTCATTATTTAAATATCTTGTAAGATATGTATGATGCCTTTTTTTAATTCTTTGGAGTCAAAATGCAACCACTTAAACAGAAAAACACCCTTTTGGCACCTAAATGAGCTCTTTAAAATTCAGATAAGGCTCTTAGAAATCTTTGTAACTATGGAACACTTGGTTCCCCAAAACAAAACAAACACAATATTTATAGCAAATAAAGCACAGCAAAGACTATTATCTAAAGTGGTAGGGTTTAGGATGTTTTTGTGCCAGGCAGGACAATAAAAAAATCTTCCATGATACGATCAAGAAAAAGCAGCTCCAAACTGTTTTTGGACACTTAGGCCACACTTAAATTGTCTAAATTTCACTGCATTAGATAACAAAATATCAGGCTAACTTCATTTTTATGGATAATTCTTTCTGATAACTTTATTCACGAAGCCAGTGACCAGCAATTAAGTGTGACAACCATTAAGTATCCAAATGCTTTTGTTTTATCATTTAAAATCTAACAAATTTCTTTTTTTGAAATGTTTTGCTTGAAAAGGATGCATGTTCTATCCTTCCTGAAAATAAATGCCACTTATTTTGATATTTTGTCATTGAATGCAATCACATTCAGACATTTTTAAGTGTCACTTACTGTCAGTGTCAAACACTTTTTGAGGCACAAATCTGTGGATACAATTCCTGAATTTAGTGTTTAAAAGAATAAAGAAGAGATGCAAACAAACTGAAAAGGAGAAAGACGTCACATGGCAAATCAATTTCCTGCCTTGACTCTTCAAGGTGTAGACATCAAGACTTTGTCGGCTTTGCTGTCCTCTCACACAGGACAGCTCAAGGACATTGGCAGCGTAACCCTTATGCAAACGGCCCGCCACTCTGTTTGATGAGCACCAACACCAACTTTGTATATGTAAATGATGGGCAAGCGTGGTGTGCACACACTGACAGATGCATACACAAACACACGCAGATGCGCTGAACTTTGCCTATCCCAGTGTGGTCAAACGCAAACGCTCCAGGTCGGTGACATACTGCACTTGTATCAAGCTGCGTCTGGCTGCCACTCTATATGCTTGTTGATAAAGGCTGGTCTGGCAAGGATGCTGACCTCCTACTAAGAGTGAAGAGAAGTTGATTAACACCCTGCCTTTGCTCAGGAGGGGACACCACTGGTCACCTGATAAACCTGCAGAGTCCAGTTATGAGTGACTGTGTGATCCATACCGGGGCTGTTAATAAGAACATCAGGCTTAATTTGAATAATTGAGTGTGCTCACTGATTTCTACGTGAAATATGCATCTTTTTTTAGACAAATTTTAGTGCGAAAATACACTGTCTGGATACAAATATACGTCAGTTTCTAATTAGAAATAAATGCCTTTAGAGTATTTCAGGGCATCATAGCCCTGCTGAAAAAAAAGTATAAACCAGTTTGAGATAGTTAGACTGTTCTGTTTTGCTGGTTTTAGAAAGTCTTTGGCCACTTGGCAGCTGGTCAAGCTGGGAAACCAGCTGGTTAACCTGCCAAAACAACTAAACATGAATTGATCCAGACTAGGAGACCATACGAACCATTATAAACCACTTTAGGCTGGTTTTAGACTGGTTTAATATGCATAAAATGCTGTCCGGGTATGAAGTGCACTACCATTCAAAAGTTTGGGTCGGTAAGATGTTTTAATGTTTCTGGAAGAACTCTCCTATCCTCACTAAGGCTGCATAATATTGCAAAATATTATTACGATTTAAAACAGTGGTTTTCTATTTTAATATAAAATGTTATTTATTCCTGTCATAGCGAAGCTTAATTTTCACCAGCCGTTATCCCAGTCTTCAGTGTCACATGATCCTCCAAAAATCATTCTAATGTGCTGATTTTGGTCTTTCTTATTATTATAAATGTTAAATTTTAGTTGTGCTGCTTAATATTTTTTTTCTGGAAACCGTGATACATTTTTCAGGATTCTTCAATGAATACAAAGTTCAATAGAACAGCATTCAATTGAAATAGATATATTTTGTAACATTATAAATGTCTTTACTGTCAATTTAATGCATCCCTGCTGAATAAAAGAAAAAAAGAAAAAGAAAAAAACAACATAATGATCCAAACTTTTGAATGGCTGTTTAAGTAATAAAATGTATGAGATAATTTGCATTCACATCACCCTAATTTGATTATATTTCATGTAACAATATTTGTATATGCATATAATATTTCACAGTTTATTTAGAATATTTGAAGGAAGTACCTCTGATAACAGGGCACATGTTAGAGAACCGCAATACACGTCTGCAGAAAATGGCTCTCTATGAAACTCTTGCATTTAGGGGAGTGAGCAAATAACAGAAAGAGAAAAATAGAATGTAAGAAAATAGTAAAATAGAATTAAAGAAAGAGAAAAGAGCAGTTGAAACTGAAACACATATCCCACTAGAGACATATTGTTGAGACCCTTAGCAGAGACATGCTGAGACATGCTTTTTCTCTAGTTGCTGTAGTGAGATTCCACAGGCAGAGATGAATGGCCAAAGTCAGTGGCAGTGCTTTGTTGCAGTAAATAACAGAAATGATTTGACAAAGACATTATATAAAAAAACAGATCTGGAGCACAACCGCAGTATTGTGGGCTCATCATCCTACAGTCCTGTTGACTGTTCCTGCATCAGACTGGAAAAGCTCTGGTTCTGTTGCATTATATAAAAAGACTGAAGCAGAGGAAAGGATCCGTAGATATGACTAATGACATCTGAGTGAGATAAGGGAGTTACCTGCTGCTTTCTCGGAGGGCGTCGTTGTCTTTGTGCCAGGAGATCGTGCCTCGAGGAGACATCTTTGGCTTGCATTCAATGAGAACATCGCCGCCTTCTTTGACTAAAGTGTGGCTCTTCAGCTGATTTTGGAAGAAATCAGGAGCGACAGCTGAAACGAAAGACAAGTTTTAGATTTTAAGAGCATACGTCATCAGAAAGAAAAAAAACAGCTGAAACGCTATGTCTCATGCAACTATTTTAATTACATACAAATAAAGGAATGTTTTGGGATCAAAACAAGGAAAATGGCATGTAAAGTGGCATGACAAAATTCTCTTTTAGGATATATACACAATTAAAATGTACTGTCTTTCTCTTAAAAAAATTAAATGATACATATAAAAAACTAAATAAAATAAAAACAAATCCAACCATAAATTTCTTTCAAAAGCAAATAAATCAACACAGGAAGGAAACATATGGAAAGTTATTTCTGCTATGGAATAAAAAATAAAAAAAAATTATGACTCTCACAATTCTGAGTTTCTATCTCATAATAGAAACTCAGAATTAGAATTTTTTTTTTCTGAGATATAAACTCACAATTCTGACTTTTTTCTCTCGCAATTCTGAGTTTATATCTCACAATTCTAATGTTTTTCAGAGATATAAACTCACAATTCTAACTTTTTTTCTCAGAATTGCGAGTTTATATCTTAGAAAAAAAAAGCTAACTTGAATCTTGAGATGTTAACTCACAATTCTGTTAAGAAAAGTCTGAATAGAGTGATATAAACTCACAATTGTGAGCAAAAAAGTCAGAATTGTGATATGAAAATTGCCAAATACCTATTTTATTTTTTGAATCCATTGCAGAAATAAGCTTCCAAAGAAACCAGCACTGATTGAGTGTCATGAATCAGTGTCACAGGACAATTTAAATGGCTCTTCTAATTATGTCAATCTCAGTTAAATTTAAAATCTGATCACTAGTGATGTTACTGTGCAAACAGTATAGGCTGAAAACATCAAAGTTGTGGCATAGCGGTTTGTGATTTTTCCATTTACCCCTCTTATCCCTATTATTTTCTGTCCTATATCTTATTATGCCAATAAATAAAGGACACACAAAGAACCATATAAATATTTAACAACAATATTATTTAACAACCGAAGACCATCATGCATCAGGCCAATTTTTCCCTTCATATTTGACCATAATTACAGGTACGCAGACACGAGGATTAAGGACTATTCAGAGCACATCCTCTCTAATCACTGTACTTCAGAGGAAGGCATGTGTACACGGGTACGTATGATGTAGAACCAGAGATGGCAGAGCAGAGGCTCAGCGTATGTGGCACACTTTAATTATCACACGCTCCTTTTCTCTGCTAAGAAAAACAAAGGGAAAATGTCATGTCCTTTCCTCTTCCTTTTCCACGTTCCCCACTCAAATGAGTTTTTATTATGATAATTTCTCCGGCTTTACAATCTTCACACTCTGTCTTTTAAAAGGCACTTCAATTATTTTATCTGCGCGAGGGACTGACAACTATTCTCCTGTGAGTTCAGTTTCTTGGCCACTTTGGCGGATGAATTTTTATGGCAAAACAATAAACAAAGAAAGACGTGGGTGAATAGAATGTGGATGTAGACGGCAAGTAAACACAGCTCTGCAGTGTAATGCTACTGGCCATGACAATCGCAATTTAATATGCAGAAACCTTTTGCAGTAAGTCATTTGTAGTTTGACTTCTTGAACAAATGCAAACACTGCAGAGCAACAAAACTTTTTGACAGAAAATCACCTCCGAATAAGAACTACTGCCTACTTGCACACGCCATGAGCAATATTACACATCTAATTACATTATATGAATCATAAGTGGCCATTATTAGGAGCATATAGTTGAGTTAAAGAGTGTAAGCTATATTAATGTAGTCATTATTTTGTGCTTTGTAAATTTACAAACCACACTAATATTTCAGTCAAATGCAATTAACCAGGTTTCACTTACCGATAACTCTGAGTTCAGCATTGGAGTACACTTCTCCATACTTGTTCCCAGCCACGCACTGGTACATTCCAATATCGGAGAGCACCAGGCGAGTGATGGACAGGGCGCCATTAATGACCTGCACCCTCTCCTGTGGAAAACAGGATATCTCCGTTAAGAGTCTTTTACTGAGATTGCTAATCTGCATAAAAGCACAACGTGTCTGGGAAGGTAAATTATGTCTGGAGGTTGATGGAAACGATCATAAATCTGAGTGTTCATTACTAATGGGAGACACTGCGTTGGGAGGCTGCTCAAAAACGACGGCAATAAATCTGTATGTTTATGAGATGGAAATAAAGCCCTGGCTTGTTTACTTCTTAACCAGAGCTCATGCCTCTGTATTCCGCGGACGAGCCGTTGGGAGGCTGGATGATGTTTGCCATTATAAACAAGCTGGGCTAATATTTTAAATCTGACAGCTTTATACTATTTCTAATATGTGATGGAATGTAGTCTGCATGTCTTCTGATGTTAACCAAAGTTATTTGATGAATATAGTGTATAAAACAACATAAAATAGGAAAGACATCTTAAAACACCAGGACACTGCAATCAAAGCTGTATATATCCAGTGTTAATAAATAAATAAATATATAAACCTTCAGCCTTAGTCACCTTGAGAGCATTTAGTTTCCACCTCATGTTTCCTTCCAACAGACATAAACAACATTTTAAAGGCTCATAAAAAGACAGGTTCATATTAAAAACTGGCATGAAAAGTGGCAGAACAGTCTCTGCTGTGGTTTAGAGTGTATTCTGTCCTTTCATATTTCACATTTAGCCCTTTATTTTTCGTATGTAAGGAATAGTTCACCTAAAAAATGGGGAAAAATACAACAACGCAGCACAATTGTCAATATGGTATTTCTTTTATGTAATAGTTCAATAAACAAGTTAATATTGAGTAACTTGCATGCAGGGCCGTACCCACCATTGAAGTCCCCGAGGTCCGGACCTTGGTATTTTTCCAATAACAGAAGTTGTAAAATAATTACATATACTGCTTTGGTGCTGCAAGGATAAAAAGCCAAGATAACAGATCTTCTCATGTGAGATGCCTCAGCAGGGTTGTGCGTTATATATTGTCTGCGATAATATCATAATTGTTGTTTTAACGATGTGCCATTTGACATTATCAAGTATTTCGCAAAAACCATTCAAAACACCAGTGTGCACGAGTACATTATGCGAAGTCTGAGCTAGTGCGAGTGCGCATCAGAGTGCGTTCTTTCACTGCATGATTCAGTCTATTAAAATTAATTTAGAATGATCACAAATTAAGACATGGGGGCCGAAAATTTATTTATTTTATACCACTTCATATAGTTAATCAATTTCACACGAAGAGTGCCGTTTTTCTCCAACAATTACCATGATTACAAATGTTATATAGATTTTTTGCAACAGCTCAATAAACAAGTTCATTAAGAGACAGCTCAAGTTTTAGACAGCATATTGCCTGTTTTTGCTCTATTTCGCCAACAAAAATAATTCCAAACACAGCCACAGCACAGTTTTGTGTCTCTGAGCAACATGAGGGTGTTTCGTTCCTGAATGAATCAACCGTTTAAATGATTCGGTTCAATCGTAATGACTCACTTATTAACAGTGATTTGCTGCCACCTATCTGCCAATAAAAATAACTCCAAATGAAGCCAAAGAGACCACTGTTGGTCGTGTCCAAACAAAACACAGTGGTGTTCTTAAATTAATCAATGTTTTTTAACGAATTGCTTGAGTAAATGATTCAATGACTAATTAATAAAGAAAGTCATGTTTCGTTCATGAATGATTCAGATTTTTGAACAAAAGTGAAGGAATCCAGATTCATAAAGGCATTCATCTCTTCAGCTCCTGAATTAATCGTTTTTTTGAACAAATCAGTTTAACAAATGATTTAATGTCTAGTATACATAAATGTTAATTATGGGGGTAAATAAGCAATTGATTTTAATTTTGAATTCAGAAGTTGAACAATATCTAAAACCAATATTTGTAAAAATGTGTATACACACACAGAGTATCTTTTTTTGTTTATTTCTGTGATTTGATTAGATTTTTTTTTCTGGTGATCCTAATCTACCTCCTGGTCCATTAAGACCATAAAACTCATACTATTTCTCACTCAATTAATTGGAGTGGCATGGAGATGAGTAAATACTGACACAACTTTCATTTTTGAGTGAGCTAAAACATTTTTTAATTATTCATTTTTTTAATGTCAATAAAGGGTTTACTGTAGTCATGGCATATAAAACAGCAGTCAGTCCTTGGGATAAGCTGCGCTTGAATGAGATTTGTGTTGATGGTGAGGAGGAAGGGACAAATGCATAATATGGGACAAATAAGCCTGCACAGAAAGTGGCGGGTCCTGAGGGAGGGGACCATCTGCATGGCTGCTCTGAAATGCCGTGATTGGCAATGTCACTGCTCGAAATCCGTAGGGTCAGGACATAAAGCGCAATGCATGACTACAGTTGCGGCAAATCTCATCCTGATATGAAGTGCGTGTTCATGGCTGCATAGACGTTTTCATTTCCTAAGTCTTGATTTAAATCTACACCTTTGAAAAGACGATAATGTCTCCTTTCGTTCAAAACACCGTACATGTTAGGCCTCATTACCAGTTTGTAGCTGTTGTAAACACTGTGTTTTATATTATGTGGTACATTTTAAATCAAACTACTACAAATATAAGCTATGTTCTGTGTAAGCAGTATGAGCTGATATCAAAAAAGCACAATGATACGGGTGAACAAGATCATTGACACGTTTATTACTAGATTAGCCAAGGCACGGTATGTGCCTCACATCACACTCCCTTCTCTCAGTGACTGGAGCGTCACAATGATTTACAAAGAAGAGGTTTTTAGCTGGTCACCTTAGCAATGCTGTGTTCCAATAAGGCAGAAAGAACATGAAAGGTCCCCATTGATTAAGCCCAGTGAAAATAACAAATGGTATAAGTCAACAACCCATGCTTATGCTACATCAATGACCTTTAGTTATTCAATTGATTAAACCTCTGATGCTGACGGTGACATTTGGAGATTGTAATAATTCTGCGCTGATTAATTCATTTAACCAGGATACATTGAAAATCAACATTTCGGAATCAAAATATAAGCTAGGGCTACGATTCAGTCAAGAGATTGTTGTGCCCTTGAGACAGTCTGTCATAGTACAAACTAGGTGGTATTTCTTCAATGCTCAAAGAGACGTGCTTCTAGAAAGGCGCAAGGTCTTTCAAATCATCTTTACAACCATAAATGCAAAATAAAGAGATGTTATTGCATTTAAAATTCAAGTGTACCTTTTGGCAATTACCTTGGCACACAAACATACCTGTAAAACATTGATCATTATGCAAATTCGGTATTTCAAATACAAATTCACTCAACAAACCTGGAGCCTAACCAGCAAAATCTGCATTAGCAATTATTTCCTGAGGTCCAACGCATGTAAATGAACTTTATTTGAGCTTTTTCTGATTGCGGTGTATTCTGTTGGAACCGTTCTCTAATAAAGCGCAAAACAATAAAATGCACAGACTGCTAATTATGCAGCGCTGATAGATATTCTAATCTGGTCGTGGTGTGAAAGATGAAAAAGAATGAGTGACAGATGAAGAAAGACAAGTGGCCATGTCTCTGAACACATAAACAGTCTCTAAATGGATCAATATCTTTTGTCTTGTTTGCACCCACATCGCATAGCAAGGCTAATTTACATGAAGTTTACTGATTTTTTTATTCACCACACCATAGTTGCTCTGAAGAGCTACTAGTCTCTAAAAATAACTTCATGCGCTTGGAGTTTGGAATTCTGGGTGAAATGCTCTCAGTGGAGACAGGTTGTATATGACATAGAATGTCGAGACATATAAATGTTTATCACCTCTTTCACTATAGTTTAAACGGATTTCAGAGAAAGACAAAACAATAAGAGCTTGTCTAGCACACAGTAAAGGTTTATAAGCCTTCTCCTAACGGCCTTCAAGGAAACAGGCTCAAATTCTGCTGTTTTAGATGGCTCTATTAAATCAAGCCTTAATGTTCATTAAATGTATTTTACTTTAAGGACTTTTTAAATGTCCTTCATATTCTGAGCTTGTGTTGTTTGGTGATGTTTGTAGGTTGTAAAACAGTAATTATGTTTATGCAATGATGAGCAGTAATGATGATTAGAACAGCTATAATTAGCATGCTCCTCTCTGCACCTTATTTAAAGTCGACATGAAATCAAAACTGTCCTGTTTACTTACTAAGTGCACTTTACTGGTCTTATTTTACATAATTCATCACAGCATGTTATTCCAAAGAAAAAATGGTTGTCTTTCATCAAAATGTCATGACTTGCTCCACATCAAATTACTTTTCTCTTCATTGACCTCACAAAGGCTGCTGAAGTTTTGTGCTGTCAGTGTTTCAGGAGAGGTGTAGCTTCCAAAACTCAACTGTAAAAGTCATGAAGTGCCCATTTTTCATAATCCAATAAATTCCTGATGGATAAAAATCAAGTCCCTACATTTTTTCCCCCCACATTAAACATCCCGGAAAGTCACACAAATGAAGTAAAATGGGTTGCAAACGTTGTTTCACATCATCTTCAAGCATCTAAAGAATAACTTTGACCAACTCCCAAAAAAGGAAGCGGTATGAAATGATAATGTGTTGGTTCAATCTTTAAAACGTGTTGTTAGAGAGTATTGCTAGTGCTTTCTGCTAGCTATTGCCATCTTAAGTTTATTGCATTTTTGGGGCACTATTCCCTCTCATTGCCAGAACAAGTGGTGGATATTTGCAAGCTTTTATGTTCTCAATTTTGTCCATTCCTATTGTTTCGATAATTCTGGAGTGGCCTATATAGAAGGTCCGCGGAATGACATATCCGGTACTCCAGTGGATTCACTCTGATTTAGACAGTTATAGAGAAGCCATTAAGGAATACACTCTAAAGCATTGGTCTCACAAGGTTAATAAAGATGGCTGGCAGATCTACTGTGATGACTGCCACCAAATCAATGATATAACCTAAAAAACAAGACAACAAATAACACGTTTCTTAACTTTCTTTGTATTGCACAGTTGATTTAATAAATTTGATATAATTTGTACTTTTTGTACTAAACCTATATTTTCAAATACAATATTTAAAGGGATAGTTCACTCAAAAATGAAAATTTACAATGTACTCATGCCGTTCCAAACCTGTATGATTTTCTTTCTTCTGTAGAACAAAAAAATAATTTTTTTTTTTTTGGTGTCATACAATGAAGACCAGTGGGGTCCAAAACAACATGTGGACAGCAATCTTCTTAAAATGACTTCTTTTGTGTTCCACAGGAGTCATGAGGGTTATCAAATAACGACAGAATTTAAATTGTTGGGTGAACTACAATTTTTGAATGCAATTTCTATTATGTCATTGTCAGTATCTTTACTACTGTTGCAAAAGTCTGGTGACCGTCCTCAAACCTCAGAGGTGAACTGACCTCAGTGGGCTCCAGGTTCTCTCCATTCTTCAGCCACCTGTACGAGGGTTTGGGCTTCCCTGTGGCCTTGCATTCCCACACCAGAGAGTCATCAATGGCCTTCTGCACATCCTGGGGCTTGTCAATTAGCTGGGGGGAGGCTGAAACAACCAACAGCAGAGGTAATGACTACATGGAATTGCTTTAACCTTGATTATTACCTGTTATGTGTCCTTCAAAGCGGACTTACATTATTAGAGCCATGAACTGTGGGAAATGGTGTGATGTAATCACAATAATGGCACATAAGAAAACAACAGCAGTCAGGCCCAACTGATTCACACGTCCACTTAGGTGGGTATAGAAAGGAAATAACATCTAATATATTAGTATTGTCTAAAAGCTAGTACCATAAATTACCTCAACCAATACCATTAGGGTAAATTATGGCTTAATTATAAACAAACTGTAGTGATCTTTATCTTTTAAATGCAAGTAACTCAAACCTAGTAAATAATTGACTTAGAGCACATTTAGAGAATCATTTATGAGCATTTTCCCTAGAAGGACACTAAACGACAGATAAAAATGGGTAGAATACATGCAAACAAACAATAAAATATATAAACAAGTTCGTTAAGTGCAAAGTTTAGCTGATGACCGTTTTCCATTGTAAATGGAAATGGGAAGTAGTGATGTTCGAATCATGAATGAATTTGACTCAGATCTATCCAATTAATCATTTGGCTGAGGTGGTTCTCATGTTAGTCGGCAGGATGATTATCAATGAAAAGCTTACAATTTAGTCTCTTTATTGCTATTAAAACCATTGCATGACTCCAGAAGATTTGGAATACATCTTAAATAGCCTCCACTGATACTTTAACATTTGGTCTCACCAAATCATGAACATTTGGTTGCAATACTGCTTTTATGGTGCTTTTGCATCCTTTTTGAAGCTTGAAAAGCCTCAATCTTTTAGGCTCAATCTTCAAAAGAAAGTCAAACAGGTTTGATACAACGACACAATAGCAAATGATAACAGTTTTCATTTTTACGGTGAACTGTATGTTTTATTATATTCCTGATGCTGCAAACCAATCACATATAAGTCACAAACTGTCAAACATCTACTGAAGACCGAAGTGCTGCTCGTATCCCTTAAGTCACTGCCACTCAGTCTATCTCGCACTCACTGGGAGAGTATTGACTTTTAAACCCCACTGTTTAAATGAGAGTAAGCAGTCAGGGCCTGACTTAGCCTTGCCCACAGGGCACACAAACACTCTCAACATTTCACGCCCACAAGTCAAACTTGAGAGGAATGAGAGGTAGAGAGGTCAAAATGAGCTCTCAGCATCCTTAATAGCAACTGAAAGCTTATTCAGTGGCATACTGTGATTATGATAGATGTTTTCTGTGTCCCTAGCAATCATAATGTACTCAGAAGAACATCTGTTTTTCTGTGTAGGGGAACTCTGGATGTAAGAACCTTTTTGTGAAACTTGAGTGATCTTAAATGCAGCCCTACCTACCAAATACAACATTCAAACCATTTATTATGTCTCTTTAAAGAGTTCATATCATGAAAAAACAAACTTTCCTAACATTTTCTAGTCCACTAAGACTTTTTTTTTTAATTTTTGAGCTTGACAGACTCATTCCAATAATGTGTTTTTTTAACCTTAAACCGCATTTCATTACACCAAATACACAAAATAATGTTCTTTTTAGCAACATCATATGACCCCGTTAAGGATTAGATATGGGGTGAAAAAATTATTGATGCATAAAAATCTTGACTAACATTATATGTGGGAAAAATAAAATGCTAAAATTTATAACATGACCCCTTGAATGATCAATACTGATAAAGGCACTCATAAACACAAAAACATCTTTAAAACAACCCTCTTTATACGTGTACCTGTTAGAGGTACACAATCTTCATAGCAAAGCGAAGAATAGGACTAATGAAGGCAACAAAAACATTTGAGGGCAATTGCTAATCAAGCCAACGCAAGCAGAAAGAATGAAAGGCTTTGAGTGTCTCCTCCTGCTTTGCTGCTGCCAGTGGAAGTGATAAACATGAGATATACTTATTGATCGCCTCATTCCCTTGCTCTGCTGATGAATGTCTTGTAGGCCTAATTCCATGGGACTTCAAAATAAGATTACAGATTTTTATCACCTAACAGGTAAAGGGAAAAACATTGGGGAAGAGAATAAGATACAGAGTGAAATAGAGGAGAAGGGAGAGAGAGATCTGAGTGGTAAGTCAAGAGGTCTGTCCGTAGGCTAATCCTGCCATTGAAGAATCCCAGAGCCGCGAACAGGATAAACGTCAACCCGTCGCTGCTTTTTTATATGCCTTTTATATGTTTTAAGGTGTGTTGTAAATGATTACGAATAGCTTAAAGCATAGAATGAGTGATAACTGGCAGATGAATGAGAGTTCATTTTTAGGCAAGTCAGTTCACTCCTGGCCATTTTAGCTGATATCTGATGTAGTTAATAGGCATACAGTTCTATCGACTTGAATGGGGAAAGACCACAGTCTCAGAAACTTTCAATTACATATGTCAAACCATCAAAAAATCTGTTTCTTTGGCTCAAATTACACTGAAACCTTAATTTACAGTGCTCATTTTTACAAATGTTACACTTGAAGTCACACGTTTTGTTTTTGATGAAAATATCGATTAAACTTGTCAATATTTTGCCATGTAATATTCAATAATTTTAGTCAAATTACTCAAACGACATTTAGTTGATAAGAAACTGGAAAATAAAACCAACTATTTACCATTAAAATGTTTGAGTTCAGTAATCTTTTTAATGTTTTTGAAAGAAGCCTCTTATGCTCACAAGTCTGCATTTACAATCAATGATGCAGTAAAAAGATTGATTTTGAAAAAGTAACATTTCTAATTAATCATTTATATCAGTGTTAAAATGGTTGTGATGTATAATTTTTTTTCTTTTTTTTTTCTTGTGGAAACAGTGTTTTTTTTTCAGGATTCTTTAATGAATATCAAGTTCAAACGAACAGCTTTTTTTTTTTTTTTTTGCAACAATCTAAAAGTCTTTACTGTAACTTTTTTATCAATTTTTTGTGTCCTTGCTGAATAAAAGTATACATTTCTCTAACTTCTATCTCACTGACCCCAAACTTACTGTATATACATTTTAAAATGCATCAATGTCAACAAAAAATGTCCATGTTAATATCTTGCAATGTTGCATTGTTAATATCTTGCAATGTTATATTTTCATCAACACTTAATTAAAATTGTTTAATTATCAAATTAAAATATTTTTAAAAAATGACACTTTTATTATGCATTTTGCCTTTGTTATCATTGAGAAAATAAAAAATCTCTTCATGAACCATTTTCATCAAAAATTTTGTTGATGAGATCAATGCTGGTTTAGTGTGACATATTTCTATGCAAAAACCTGCATCTTATTCAATAACCACAGGTAATCCAGTTTAACCAGATGCTAAAGGTCTATTTCCTTCTCCTTATACTGCAGTTGACTTATAGACAGGAGGAGAGGTGTGATGGGGGTGGAAACGATTGAAGAACAGCAGAAGCGAAGCGAAAACCTAGGCGAATTATCATAAATATCAAGTCTCTCCAAAACAGAACTGGGCATGAGAGCTGAGGAGTGAAAGCATTAGTGAAACCCAACCACGCCTACGACGAATCGCCTCCTTGGCTGGATTACATTAGCTTTTATAGCCCCAGCTATTTATCTAATTAATACATTTATAAATCACAGCTACGTTGCGCATCTGGGAAGCCCATTAGGATAACTTCCCTTTTCTTGGAACCTGTCCCCCCCACATTGTTTGGAAAATAAACAATGAGACTACAGGGATAATAAAACATTCAGCGAGCTCCTTGCAGACTATTCTTGTAAATGGGCCACTGGGTATGCGGGTATAGCATTAGAGCCAGTGCACGATCCCATAAGGGGAGGATAAATCCCACTGCTCTCTAGCCTACAGGTACTTACTTAATAGGTAGCTGTCTTGTATGAACAATGCCATTGAGCCAACACGGCAGTGAAGGGAAAAGGTTATGAACTCTTCATTTTAAAGTCCATATCTAATAAGCTTCTCTTCATAAGCCTCTGAGTCACAATACACTAGCTAGAAACCTAGGCCTAGCCATTGGGGTCTCATTTTTTACAATTCATGCCAATTTGCACTGGTAAACAAATGTAGGCTGAAGGTTCACATGCAATTAATAGAATGTAAAAGGGATTTCCATGTTTTAATCTCAGTCTTTTTTCCCCACTGATTGGAAGACTTAAATCCTTAACTAATAAATAGCTATTTTACCTAATAGACTTTCAATAGGACAGAATGACTCGATTTGTACTATATACATTACTGTTCAAATTTTTTTTTTTAATTCACCAAGGATGTATTAACTTGATTACAAGTGACAGTAAATACATATTCAATATTTATGAACTTTATGTTAAATGAACTTTATATTAATCAAAGGATCCTAAAATAAAATGTATCATGGTTTCTACAAAAAATATTTTTACGCAGCACAACCATTTTCAACTGTGATAACATTGAGAAATGTTACTTGTACATCAAATTATAGAATATTAGAATGATTTCTGAAGGCTCATGTGACACTTAAGACTGGAGTAATGGCTGCTGAAAATTCAGCTTTGGTATCACAGGAATAAATTGTATTTTAAAAAATATTGAGTATTTAAAACTCTCTAATAATATTTAAAAATATTATTGTTTTTGTTGACCAAATAAATGCAGCCGTAGTGAGTACAAGAGACTTCTTTCAAAAACATTTAAAAAATCTTGCTGACCCCAAACTTTTGAACAGTAAAAAATAACTATAAATCCTATTCCTTGCAAAATAATACACTCTAAAAAATGCTGGGCTAAATACAACCCAGTGCTTGGTAAAATAGGGACACACCCAGCAATTGGGTTGTTTGGACCCAGCGGTTGGGTTAAATGTTTAACCCAACCTTCTGCGTAGTAACCCAACCGCTGGGTCAAAACAACCCAATTGCTGGGTTTGTCCCTAATTTACCCAGCACTGGGTTGTATTTAACCCAGCATTTTTTAGAGTGTAACTTCTCCTAATAAGCCATATGATTTCAAGTATCATTCATGACCATAACGCAACTCCACTCAGCCTTTAGTTCTGAACATCTTCAACTGGGTCCAGAATCTACAAATATGCTTCAAAATCAACGACTATTTTTGGATAAACACACAAAAAAAATCAGAAGTCATCACTGATCCAGATGCTGCTCTGCTGAGTGTTTTCCTGGCATATGTGCCCCTCATCTAAGCATAGTAAATTTAACAGCTTTGATCTGGAGTCAAATTGAATCCCATTGCCATCTGGTAAAACGGAACACACATACACACACACACACACACACACACACAAGGTCATCCTCTCATCTTTTTAATCTGGATAAAAATATTAAAGACATTACGAGTGGGAAGCTTTAATCATTTTGATGCACTGTTAAAGCACAACATCCGGCCTTAAGTTGATTTTCTGCTGGTCAGGGTTGAAGACTGGAAAGGCAGAGTCCTGCATCATGTCCTTCACTTCAATGAACGTGACATGTGGCTTTCCCTGTTCAAATATTCATGCATCTCTAGACTTACCAAAGAAAGACAGCTTTCCCTGCACAGAGTTTCTTCCTTTCGAGTTCTCTGCCACACATTCGTACGTGCCCGCGTCTTCTTGCTGGAAGTAAGGGATTTCCATCACGCCGCTGGTTTTTCTTACATCCACTTTACGGGTGAATGGGACTCCGTCAACCCGATGCCAACTCATGGATGGTACTGGACTAAGTCGTGGGAAAAAAACACAAACGCAAAAAGAAATTCAAAGACTGATTACATCCTCTTTCTATTGAGGACATCTTTGTAATACTTACTTCCCCAGTGCAAAACACTCCAGATGCACAGTTGAACCTTTGGCCACTTGAATGATCTCTGGAAACTGCACTTCAATCTTTGGCTCATATTCTCCCATAACACCTATAAAAAAGAAACAATCAATCACCTGTCACAAGCAAAATCGCAATTATTTCCAAAAAAAGCTCAATTATTCCATCTGAAATTGCAATTTCAAAAGCAGCCAATCTTTTATTTTCCGTTTCATTATTATTGCTTGATTTATTTGGTAGCTTCTGAAAGGTTTTTGGGATAGCAGGGAGCCCTGATATCTCCCTCTGTGTTTCTGTGAGGTGTGCTATCGGACCAGCGACTAAGCTGTCTGCGGGACTCAAAGAGATGCTTATCTGTAATGTCTAACTCTGGCTGTTTATGTCAGCGCTGCCAAATGGGAAGGGTTGAGGAGAGGCAATCATCCCCTTCTGTAGCATCCCAGGTAGAGAGACATGTTACAATGGGGTTTGAAATTGCGCATAGAGATCACACTGTGACAGTAGCCATTGAGTGGCTCATGTTGGTCATACACCACTGATACAAATATCAGGTTTGTAGACAACATGTTTTACACCATAATTCAGACAAGGCATCGGTTGCATCTCAGCCAGCTGGAACTTAAAAATGAAAAATAAGTATTTTCCTTTTTGAGGTCCAACTGGTGCATTGAATTGTACACACACACACACACACACACACACACACACATACATATACATCTTCTGTGTCAAATGAACCTTCAGAAAACATTATAAAATGTTTCTCAAAAACATTTCTTAGTAATGTTGAACACAGTTGTTCTGCTTAACATTTTTTGGAAACCGTTATACATATTTTAAAATATATTTTAATGAATAGAAAGTTCAAAAGAAAAGCACTGACGTGTAAAAGTCAGCTCAGAACAATATAAAAGTCTTTATTGTAACTTTTGATTGATTAAATGTGTCATTTCTTCATAAAAGTATTAATTTCTTTCTTTAAAACCTTGCTGACCTGGACTTTATGTTACTGCATCTGCATTTAATTGCACTTTAAAATTCTGGTAAAAAGGGCATAAATATAATTGAGGGCAGTTTTGACTACTCAAAAACCTGAAAAATGAAACGTTTACCAATACATTTATCAAATATCCTGGAGGAGAAATTGATAAACACTCAACTAACTAAAGCAATACATTTGTCAGCAGTTAATTAACTTTTCCTATTGTGAAAATAAAAATTCTCATATATGTTTTTTTTAATGACACCAATCAAAGCTACTTTCAGATAATCATGTAAAAATTAATATAAAGTCTAGGTGGAGACAAGGCAAAAATAATGAAATATCAAAATAAATAAAAATATTATTAGGATTATTCATTAATTAAAGACAATTACTTAAATAATTATTAATTTTTTCCCCCTTTAAAATCAACCTAGAGGACAAAAAAGTTCCTCTAATCACCCAAAAAACTAGAAAATAGAAACCAAAAAAATCTCTCATAGAAAATAAGTTTATTTTAGGCTATCACTCAGATAAATTAGATTCCGTTTGTCTGTTACGATATTTGACAATTTATGTTTATCACCCTTGTACATGAGTGTGATCAAACTGTAAATCCACAGAAAAGCAACAATTAGATCAGCCCAAGACAAATGACCTTTCAGTTCGAGGGCCTATGATAATGCCAGCCTAGAGGCACCAAAACATGCTGCCACAGCATCTTAAAATTTGCAGAGAAACAGATTATTAACCTTTGAATAAAATTTGTATTCTACATATATATCATCTTTTTTTTATCTCTTTTAGTTACATAATTCTATAATGCATATGGGATTGAATGTATGGCATATATTGAGACATCAGCAAGCATTCTCACCATCATTGCGCAGTATCAGAGGAGTAGGCGGGCCTTGGACGCGTGTTTTGGTGACAGTATTGGTCACAACACAGGTGTAGTTGCCCACATCAGATGGCTCAACTTTAGCAATGTATAGATTCCCTGTCTCCTGGGACACGAAACGACGAGAATCCTGCTTCACAAATGACGGGTACTCATTAAAAATCCAGGAGAACGTCAAAGCTGTTAGAGGAAAAAGGAAAGGAGAAAAGACCATCAACATCACACATGAGTAGAAAGAGGTCACTCTACTGCCCGGAAACTACATTTGCATACACATAACTAGAGTACACGGTGACATTTCCTCTCTCAGCAGAGCCTAAATGGCATATGTGAGCTCTGCTCATGAATCTTGCGCCTCCCTAGAGTTACTAAATTAGCATTAGGGCTACATGCTAGGGTGAAAATTAATCAGCCTGAGGAGGGTTGTGTGGCTTAGGGGGTGAAAAGTAATGACAGAAAGGATAACCAGTGCCCTGTGATTAGTTGGCTTCTAGTCAAGTGGGAAAGTGGTCGTATGTAACCAATGTTCAAAAATCCAGAGCGCTATTCACTGACATTGGTCATTTAATGGATAATCAGGTGAAACGTAATGAGCTAATCACACAGCATTTCATTAAAGCAGAGTTTTTAATGACAACAATAAAGAAATCTTAATGTAAATGTGTGGAAAGGACAACAGATGAATGGAAAAGTTCAAAAATGTTCAACTACCTTAATTGGGCGAATCTCACAAAACGGTCAAGAAATGTCATTGTTCCACCAAAATAATATGAAGCCTATTTTTAGGACTACTGACATTATTTTCATGACAATCCAATTCTTAGTAGCCCACTATAATGTGAACAACACATTTAATTCACATCACTATAATGTGACAAAAAATTGTAAAGTGTAAAATACTCTTATATTTAAAGTACAGAATATAGTTAAAATTTAAGTATAATTCACATTAGTATTTAATCTAGGTCTACTGTATTTAATTTATTGCAATTAAAAATATTTTATTTTCAAAAAGAATGATTTTCATGCAATTTAAAAAAATGTGCTTCATCGTCATGAAAGTAATATTAGAATATTTAATTTTAATTAAATTTTATTTTATTTGGATTCACCTTATTCTAGCTCATGCTGGAAATAGTAATGCAGTCATTGTTTTATATTTCCAGTTATGTAGTTTTCAACACACCATTTCACACTATATGAGACAAATAAACAGACAAATAAGTAAAACAGTCTCAACTCTGTGTGCTGTTGACCAGACTTTGAAAATGTAGCGTTCTCGTCGGCCGTTTCTCTCCATGAAATGTCAGCATACACTTAATGTCACATCTATCAGTGGTCAGTTCTTTTACAAGCACAGAAAAACAGTTTCGAACCTGACCTCCAAGAGTTACAACTGTTTTTCCTTTTGCTAATTCAATTACACACAATGCCTGTCATTCTCCAAGTTCCACCATCAACTATGAGCTACGGAAAGTGCAAGGTGAACCAGGCATTTCTCCATTATCCAGGTGTGAATCAAAATGATAAAGGAAATTTTCCTTTCAGAGGAAGCGCTTTCTGATAATAATTCAATTGCAGACTTTTTACTTGAAGTTGTTTGTATAGTACATGTTTGTAATTGGAGAAAGGCTATAAACTAAAATGAGTGCTTTTATAATGGCTTTGCATAAGTCAAAATCTAATTGCTGCTCAAAACAGCAATAAAGAAATCAACTGTCAATCTAATAAGCATCTAACCGCATCTGTGGAGGAACAATGCACTGAAGCATTAATAAACCGATGTGCATTTCCTGTCACCAGCCTCCTCCATGTTTCTGTGGCGCATACCTACATCTTATTCAACCAAACCACTCTGAGGTTAGACATGTTAGCTTTCCATTTGTGCCGTCAATGATAAATGCATTTGCAGAACGCTGTAATGTTCTACTCGGCCAAGGCTTTTGGCTCCCCATCAGCGCATTTAATCGACAGGCACATAGCATCTCCCCGGCTTAGTCCAATCAAACCCACTCACTCGTTAGCTAATTAAACAAAACAGTCTTGGAGGATTCCTGCCTGAGCCCTTGTCATTTATCACAGTTTGATCTGATCCATAGCTGTGGGCTTCGGCTATCTTGTGCACAGAAGGGGCTTGAGCAGCTTGGTTTTCCAACCCATGAACTCTGAGTGCTAAGCTAACATCATTCCTGTAATATACAACGGTAATTTAAGTAAATATTTCTATAAAAGCATAAGCAAGACTTTCAGAAATATGTTATGGTTAAGCTTAGGCACTTAAACTCTTAGTTTAATTAAAAGTTTAAGTGTTAATTAACAGGAAAATTAACAGTAAGGCTAACAAGATGTAAACAAACTGTTAAACCCTTACGAAAATGAACCATGGTTTTATTGTAGTGAAAGTGTAGTAACCATGTTTTTTTGGTGTACTGATTACCATTTGTATACAAATACCATGGTTAAACTATGGTTAGTGTAGCAAAACCATGGTTAATTTGTGGTTACCATGGTTTAACTATAGTAACCATGGTTTTTTGGTTTTATTTGTAGTAAAACCATGGTTAATTAGCTGTAGGTCAGTGACTAGCTTACATGAGGGTGCCAGCTTGAAGTTAATTTTGATGTTTCTTTTTTAAAATCTCTCTTATGCTAGTACTGTGCCTTAATGTTTATTAAGTCTCTTGCGAGGAATATAATACCTGCATGCACAGAGATCTGGGGCTCAGGATGAACTGAATAACGTAATGTGATTTTGTGCTATCGTAAAGACCCTGCAAAACAGGATCTGCTTTCTGACTTAAATCCTGCCATCCATGCATTCAATCAATCATTCCCCAAAATGCTGAACTTTTTATTAATTTAGAAGGTAAAAACTTCAAATGCTAATCCACTACTGCTGCAGGCATTAACGCTGCTTTTAAAAACAAAACAAAGCTTTGTGTTAGCAAAGAAAGGTCACATACAGTTGCTGAAAGGCTGTTGTTGCAACCCTAACACAATCCAAAAGAGGACACGACTAGAAATCAGTGGTCAAGTTGTATTTAAAATACTGTTCCAGAAACCCAAATAATCAGATGTGTGCACACACCAAATACACAAAATAATGTTCTTTTTAGCAACATCATATGACCCCTTTAAATGCTTTCTGAATATTGCTGTAACACTATAGAGCTAGTGTGAGTTTAGGGTGACATTACCTGACTGGCTGAACAATGGCGGACAGGGGGCAGGACAGACAAGAATTTTTTTTTCTAATTCGGTTTAAACTTTAAGGTACACCATCCATCAAAACTTCTGGGGCCAGTAAGAATTTTGTTTTTTTAATGAATACTTTGAGCAAGGATGCTTGAAATCAAATTTATAATGAATTATAATATATACCAATTATAATGTTACAAAAAAAATTCAATGTAAAATAAATGCTGCTCATTAAGCAGCACAATTGTTTTCAACACTGACAAATAATAAATGTTTCTTGAGCAGCAAATCAGCATATTAAAATGATTTCTCAAGGATCATGTGATACTGAAGACTGGAGTAATCGCTTTGCTGTCACAGGAATAAATTACATTTTAAAATGTATTAAAATAGGAAACAATTATTTTAAACTATAAAAATATTTCATGATATTACTGTTTTTACTACATTTTGATCAAGTAAATGCAGCGTTAGTGAGCATTAGAGAAAATATTAAAAAACCTTACTGACCCCAAACTTTTGCACATTTTATTTTCTGCCAGGCAAAAAACTATAAGTCAGACCATCTAAAAAAAATAGCACACCTCTCCTCAACAAACCACTTCATTTAAGAATAAATTAAACACAACAAATATTTTCGGTTAGCGGTTTGTTCAGATTTTAGCAAACACTACTAAATATATATGGGCAAAAACAATCATCGTAAGCAGTTATCAACATATCCATGAAAAAAAAAATCAATTTGTTTTCTACTTTTTCTTGCCATTAGCTTGACATGATGAAGGTGACTGTGTAATCTGGCTCAAAGACAAATGTTCTAATGTGCTTACACAAGCACTACTGATGTGTGACAGTAACTGGAACTACAATTAGAAAATAGGTGTTTCAGACTTTAGGCTAGGTCATAGTGCCCGTCTGAATACTATAAACAGTCTATCTGACAACAATGCCTCTTTCCAATTTACACCAGCCGTGGAAGCCTGGGGGAAAACAGTGGTGTGGGAAGTATTTAAAAAAAAAAATCTCACTATCATATTTCATTTTAGCGGAAAGAAACCATTATTACACCAGTGAAGAAACAGAGAGAAGAAAAGACATATCTGCAGACAAAATAAACCATCTATCACCGCAAACACCAGTCTCAGTTCCAATCAAGGAGACCCATTCATTATTTTTACACTCCGTCATGCCGCAAGCAGGAAATAAAGCTTTATGAAAAGATGCACATATCTGCCTCTTAATCGCGCATTATTGATGCGAGTGCTCTTGATGAATTTTAATAGCATCACAGCTGCCTGATCATCACTTGTTAATAATACATGTGAGACTATTTGTGACAACAGTATGCATATTTAATCATTGTGCCACGGATTACACAAGCTTACTGCTTGGCACAAATATATAAAAAGTTAACTGATTAATTAATAATTAGGTAAATAAATAAATCATAAAAACAACAGTGATCAAAGAATAGAGGTTGGTTCCAGTTTGTAAATAAGGACTTTTTAAAGGGATAGTTCACTCGAAAATGAAAATTCTGTCATCATTTATTCACCCTCAAATTGTTCCAAACCTGTATGAGTTTCTTTCTTCTGTTGAACACAAAAGAAGATATTTTGAAGAATGCTGGTAAACAAACGATGGTAGATGGTAGCCACTGACAACTTTTTTTCCATACTATGGAACTCAATGGCTTCATTGAGCCATTAAACCACATTAAACCATCAGCTGTTTGGTTTTCATTTCAACTATCCCTTTAAGCACCAATAATTGCAATATTGTTCAATAAAGATATAAGGCAATGGATCTCCACCTTGTTTGTAAAAATGATAAGTTTGGAAGAATTACGATTTTTTTTTTAATGTTTTTGAAAGAATTCTCATATGGTCACCAAGGCTGATTATTTGATCAAAAATACAGTAAAACAGTAATATTATGAAATATTATTACAATTGAATATACTTTTCTATTTTAATATATTT